AAACCCGATTGGCCGAGGGTAGAATAAAACGAAAGGTGGTTGCGTGATGCAGCCAAAGACCAAGCGGGAAGTGCTTGATGGGGATTTCAGGGGATATATGTATATATATAGGTGGATGGGGTATGCCTAAGTCTAAACTGGAAGCCCAAGTGATCGGGGAGCCACAGAAAGGCGCGCAGCCGTGCGGCAATTAATATGTGAGCAAGATGCAACCATTGCCATTACCATGTGCCTTCAACTTGAACACAAAATAGTTAACTAAAAGGCAAATGGTGGGGGCAAAGGAGGGGGCAGAAGCAGTGGCGGGGATGAGAGGGGTGGGGCTGAAGTCCAGGTCGAAAGCTGGCAACGGCAACAGCTACATGATGTGCAATTACAAGGCGGGCTAGCAGCAGCAACACTGCAACAGCAACAGAAACGGCACCGGCAACATTGCAGTTGAGCAACAGCAACAAAGCAACATAAGTGCAGTGTCTGCCCTGCCCTGCCCCGCCCCCTTTTTGCAGGCAAAGGAAGAGGAGCAGCAGCACCAACACCAGCAACAACAACAACCATCGCAACAGCAACAACTGCTGCAGCAGCAACAGCAGCAGCAGCAGGCGAAGCAAAAAATATTGCATCTTCTCAAGCATTTAATCTTCTTTGCGCCTTTTTTAACCTTTTATTATTATGCCTTCAACGTGCAAACGTTTTGCTACGCTTTATATACCCCCTTCCTCGCCTTAACCCTTACCTTTCCATTCTGTCCCAACTCGCCTTCCGTTTCGGGGCGCACTTACTCACACGCCAACCCTGGAGATGGAGTATTATTCCCAGTCCCAGTCCAAGTCCCAGATCGCAGCCAAGTGGAATTCCAGCTTCTGCTTTTGTTGTTAATAATTTCTTTTCACTCTTTGGAGCTTGGCTTTTGCAATTAGAATGCGTGTTAAGTGCACAAAGATACAAAAGATACATTTCAAGGGAGCAACCGCGCTAGGGGATGACTGCGGTACACAGAAACAAAATATTGTCCTAATAAATGATTATTTTAATGTAAGGTTCCATTTAAATAATGCAAATATATATATATTTCTTAAAACATTTACATTTAAATTTTATTCAAAATCGCTAAAATTATAAATATTAAATCGGCAAAACAATGATAATAGTTTTTTTTTCTATGTATTTACCAAAACTGCCTCTATCTCTGGACCCTCGTTATACCCTTTCTATTTTTTGCCTGCAATAAATTCTAGCGATTTTGCATACAATCACAAAGCGTTGGCCATAAATTTCAAGACAATCAAATTTAATTAATTTTCCATGTGGGCCCAAAATCAAACTCCCTCCTTGAGTAGCCCTAACCCTTCATGGTGGGCCAGTATCATCAACCCCTCGATGAATTGTTTGGGATTGCCAGGTTCTTCTTAAGCCGCTGATTGGAATGTTTTTGTGTATTCAGCTCGGTCCAAAGCTGATTTTACGCTCTCATGCAATCCGCAGTGTTGAGTTGAGTGGAGTGGTTGGAAAAACTGTTGTCGATAGAGGGTTTTACAGAAGGACTGGGGATTTTCAATTAGATACGTCCTTCGTCTCGCTTGTTATTCCGATGCTGGGATTGCCATTGTGACGGGGTTCGGGGGTGGGTCAAACTCGCGGTTTATTTCGGCAATTTGTCTAAGTGAAATTTGCATTAATCCCATGCAGATCTCTCTTTGGATATTTTTTTTCTATGCCATTATTGGGCAACGAGGCCCAAGTAATTTGCTAGACTGCGATAACAAACAAAAACTTTAAGCTGCTCAGACAGCTCAAAACTCGTTTAAGGGTTGGAAATTAATTAATAAGCCCGGTGATGAGATAACGCGGGGATTTATTTATAGATTTATTTTGTGGTTTTTGCAAGGTAGTAAATTTATAAAAAAAAAACACATTTTCAAAAATTTATTTAAATTAAAGGCAAGGCGAAAAATAAATATGTGAAATCTTAAATTAATAATTTAAAATAAATACAACTTTTTATCAAAAATACATACATTTGAAGGGAGCAACCGCTGGTATTTTAACATTTTTGAAATTAATTTGTTTAAATACCATATTGTCTTAAATCACTAGTTCAATAATTCTTCAAAGTCTACAAATAAATTCTCAAACAACAAAATCAATACCTTTAATCAATTTTGCTATCTATACAGACTTTCTCTGCTTCCCAGGTTGAAAAATTCTTTCCCATAACCCAACAGCTTCATTAGCATACCTGTAGTTTTCACACCTACGCAACTCATTATGAATCACCTTCCAAGATCACTTAGCTACCGGAGCTGCGGAGCTCTTAAGAGTAAGAGCTGTCCCACAAAGGAAAAGCCATCCACACACGCACTAAATATACCATGCTGAAAAAGTGCCTTGACAAAAGCAAAACTGTATCTTATAAATACGATTATAGACCAAAGTAGCCACAGCTCACGAAGAGGTCTTGGGGAGGGCAGCTGTAGAATGCCACGTTATAATTTTACGAAATATTTTCATGAAAAAAGCATCTACTGAAAAATGCATTAAGTGCAACTCTGACTGCAACTGCAACGGCAAGGAAGCCATACGAACGAGTCAGCAGTGGAGTAGGTAGGGGGTTAAGCAGGGGTTAAGAGGGGATCTCGGTCTGTGTGCGATGTATGCTTAAAAACAAAACTGGCTTCAGCTTTATGGCAGCGCCAAACAAACAAACCAACTCACACAAAGTTCTACTTCTGCTGCTGCTCCGTGTTTTTTGTTGCTTCTTTTTGCTGTCAAACAGTGTTGGCCATATATTAGGCTAGGAAAAAATCTGTAAATATTGTTTGAAATATTTCTAAAAGATTTATTTTAAATATCTTTTCCAGTATAAGCCAAAAAATTATGTTCATAATTTAGCATTACCAGAAATGGCATTGAATTCTTTATAATATATAAAAATGTATTACAAAATTAAATCCAGAAAAAGTAAGTTATTAAAATAGTCGCTAATAATGTTTTATATAGTTTTGATTGCATTAAGAAAACGATTTTAGCCACATTAATTTTAAAAAATAATAAAAACTAATGTTTATCCAAAGACCACATTTTTCTATAAATGTATCTTAAAAATGCATTAAACTAATATAGCCAAAGTCACATCGAAAATAGTCACGTTAACAACACTGTGTGGCATTGCCACTGCGACTGCGCCTTAATTCTGTCCACTCCTCCAAGCCACTAAATCTCTGATATATCCGAAAATGCAAGCCAGATTTGTGGAAAAGCGGTAGAAGAAAAATAAAATAAGGAAAGAAACATTCTGCATCTAGTAGATACATGCGCTCGAATGGTTCTGGCAAATATTAGAGCTATGTTCCTGCGGCTAAAGATTTAATGATTTGCACTTTTATGGAAATAATTTTTGCTCCTCTTGGAAGCTGCTTCAATGCATTCAGCTCCAGCAGCAACATTCTGTGCATGGCAGCAATTAAAAATATTTAATTATCGTGCAAAAAGTTGTCCGAACATGCGCAACATTTCTCACATGTCCAGCAGATTCAACAGAGACCCGGGGAGATTAGAAACACGGTCGGTTGAATTGCTGGGGAGCGCGGAGAAGGTGTTAGCATTCTGTATTAGAATCTACCGAAAAGCGTTGTTTGAAAATTCGGAGGCTGCCAGCGATTTCCTGTTGTCCAAAACCAGAAAAAAAGGCAACACTAAGATACGCTTCTTGGGAAACAATTTGGCAGCTTTTGGAGGTGAGGAACCCGACACATTTCGATTTATTAACTTTGAAGATGAACCGACACACGTTTAACCCCGGCATTTTAGTCAATTTAATTCGATATAGGCTCTGCATATTAAGCCGTATAATAAAGTCAAAAGTTTATTGATTATTTCGGTGGTTTTCTGTGTGTGCAGCTGATTGTGTGTGTGGCATTAAGAACTCTTTTATGACTCAGAAATGATTTAACTTAATAAACTGGGAACTATCAAGCGCAGAATTTATGAATGACTCGTTAAAATTATGAACCATTACGATGATTATATCTTATGGTCTAGACTCTAGACTTTATTCTGATAATGTTTCTTGCCTGCTTCCTTGAGGGTGATAAAATACTAAACAGCATGGTGGAAATATTTTCAGCAAATTGAATAATATTTGCAGTAGATTTTAGATAGCATTTATGCATTATAATAAAAAAGACCAGAAAACTGCTTTTAGAAAATGGGTGCTGCCAATTTATGGTTCATATGTTTAATCATAAAAATCAATTCCCTGAGCGAATTGGTAAAGGAGTGCTAAGATAAGTTTTATCTCCACGAGAAGAAGAAATGGAGAAAAATCAACAATATTAACAAATCAATGGCGAATAAAATAAATTGAAATATATTAATTTCAAGAAGAATTTTTTGTATGGTGTAGTAAATACAAATTCCGACTGCACCTGAGATCTTTACCTAATGAGTTGGGATTCCTGTCATTCGATTCATTATCTTTAGCGCCCTCTTACTATTTCAAGATCCCAGACCATTTGCCATTTACCATTTTCAAGCACAACTATTGCAGCTGTGAAAGGCAATTTGTAATTGTGTCGTTGGGAAAAAAGAAATAAAATGGGAAACAGATGCCTGGGTGGCTGTGGAAAAAGCATTGCTCTGTTTCAATTTAATTAGCCATTAAAATGTCTGCAATTGTGTGTGCGAGAGTGTGTGTGTGACGTCACATGCCAAACAACTACGTGACGGCTTGCATCCTTTTCCACTCTCTGGGGGATTCACACAACACCAGAGTATCTTGGGCATCTTCGGTCTGGCTTGGTCCTTATCCCCAGTCGATATCTGCACTTTACCTTACTTTTCCACCTGAAACTGGACTTGACTCCACTTCACTTTTATTTGTCTTCATCTGCTAACTGGCTCTGGAGTCTCTTTTTCATTCATCTGTTTGCCTCTGTTTGTGTTTGCCTTTGTTTGTGAATTTAACTAATTAAGTTTCCCATTTTCTCTCTCTCTATTTGCAGATGTAAGTGCTCGAACGGATTTTTCCAACCTCAAGGCAAAAGTGTTTGCGTGTGTGCGGAAATCAATTTAAAATTTATGCGACATGGATCTTGTCTATTGGATGTCAAGGTTTTGTTTGTTTTCTACTTTATGTGAAACTCATCAGCCATTTAGGTAAATTAATTTATTATGCTGAAGGATAAAAGCTTAGTCGTTAAATTGCGAAACATTATTTAATTATCAGGTATATGGACTTTCCTTTTTAAGTGTTATTTTACAGTTAGCTTGCGAAAATATTTTCTTTATTTATACAATTAATTTTCTTAAAAAAATTGACTTTTGATTAAAAGTCTTATGACTACGGAAATTAAGTCTTTTAAACACTCTTAGTGTCTGTATTTGTTTATTATTATAACCTAAACCTTATTTAGTCAATTGATAAAACAAATATGCTCTAATTTGCAAAGATTTCTCAAACTTAATGGTAGTCTATAAAATGAAAAAATTCTCTATGTTTCTTAGTGAAGAATCTCTTCAGTCTTAAGATTCTGAAATGCAATTAAGTTTCTCGGACCACCAATCAACATTCAACACTCTCTTCGAGAGTAATAACTCAAAGATATTTTAACCCATTTACCATGAATGGCAGTCGTTGGAGCTCGCATTTAATTGACTGATTGCTGTTGAAATTGCATGCATGTGTCATCTAAAAAAAATGGCTGAGAGCGATTAAAAAAAAAAAACCTTTTCATGTTTGCCGCGCTCTAAATCACAAACACATAAACCAAATTTAATTAAAATCCACTCAGAACGGCATCCGGATTATGTGCATGTGTCCTCTTCTCTATTATTTCCATTGATTTATTTTGCACACACTCAGTGGGTTTTTATTTTATAACATTTTCATTAAGAAAAACTGCAACTGAAACTCCACTTGCTGGGTGTTCCCAGTCGAATAAACATAATTCCCATGATTTATGGATTTGGCACAATGAATAAACACTGGCAAAGTGCAGACTTTGTGCAAAAGAGATCAGGAACACACGAGCATTTATTTTGTTGGGGCTCCAATGTTGATATATTAGCCAACAACAACTATGTATACATGTTTATTATTAGCCAAAGGCTGGCCTCTAGAGAAAACGAAAAGATCGGGGGACCTGGGACCTGGGACCGGCCTGCAATCATAATAAATGTTCATTGAAACCTTTTAAAAATCGCGCTGCCACAGCCGCCGCGCCTCAATGAAGCACTGCAACAATAAATTTTAGCCACGAAGCCGGGCTCTCTATACCAGCACATAAACATTAATAAACTTGTTGCAATCCAAAAGATAATTAGCCGTGGCTAGAGCTTGCAGTAACACCAGCGAACACCGGACAACAACCAACAGCGAACAACGAACAACGACGGCCACCGGCACACACATCACATAAAGCCACAAGACAAGAGCAGCAACAATTTGCTATTTAGTATAAAGTTTCATTAAAAACCCACTACGACTGACTGCACGGCCCATCATGCAGTTGTGTATCTTAAAGATACACAATGGGCACAGAAGAGGGTACGCTTCGCATCCCATCCCATCGCATCGCATCGCCTGCCTGCTGTCGATCATAATTTAACATAAAAATGATTTGATTACTATAATTTCTTTTGTGTTTTGGTATCACCTGGTAAGCTCATTTACTACAACGGCAACGCCGCCTATTACTCACACCGGGCCGCAGATACCCGGGTCCGGTCTTGGGTCCTCGGTTTTGAGTTTTTGGTCTCAGTATCGCACCGCGGACCTCACCGCATGCAGCGTGTGTCGTTTTGTATGGCCGAGAAGAACCAGAAAAATGAAAAAACGAAGGCAAAGATGAACATATCTCGTGGAGGAAAGGGAAAAGAGGTCCGAAATGAAACTGCGGGAAGGCAGCACCCAGAGTTCCATCATCACACTGAGAAGAGTTTCTTATATAGTTAAAAACCCCAAAAAAAAATTAACAAAACTCGAAAACAAAAAAATCCTTTAAGCCACTTAAGGTATTAAATATAATAGATAAATCTTGAGTGTTTGATTGAAAATAAAGAGAGAAAAGGAAGATATGAATGTTGGAATCCCATTTTAGACCTATACCGTTGATATTTTAAGAACGGACTTTTAATTGTTGCAAAAACGTTTTTTTCCTGAATATAAAAAAAAAAAAACGTATTAAAAGTAAAACAAAAAATAAAAGAAAACCTTGTAGCCAGGAAATGAAAAGTCAGATGAAACTTTAAATATATTACCAATTTTTTGTTAAGGACTTTAGTTGTTTTCCCACAGTGCATCACGAAAACTTGCCGGCCAGCGAGGAGTCAAAGTCAAACTGACAAACCCGTTCCGGTGCCTTGCAACAGCCTTCTGCCTCAGCCGCAACCAAAGTCAGAGTACCAGTGCCAGTTCGAGACGGAGAAGAAGTCCAAGTCGAAGTCGAAGACTTGCAGGCAATAATAGCATCGACTTAAGAGCCACGAAGAAGTATACTTCATCGGGTACTGGTACAAATATCTTGTTTCATGTGTGCGCTGGACGTTAATAGCAGGCCGTACCATTGTCCAAAAGCCAGTCAAAGTCCCCCGTTCGCTCCGCTCCTGTCTTTTCTTTATATATATTTTTCGTTTTTTATTTTTTTTTGTGTTTTACCTGCCCTTACCTGTGCCGCCCGGCCGCCCCATTGTGTACCGCTTGCATCTTCGCTGAGCGCCGCTTCTTGGCAGCCTTCGCTGCATTTCATCATTCATGCACATTATTTTAGCCACGGCCGGGCTTTCGGTTGTATCTGGAATTCGATAAGTTGACTGTAGATACGCTTAAAAACTAGATTTTTAGTGATAAAAATAACTTAGTAAACTCAAATTGAATGCAGTAAAATGTGGCTGAAATTTATTGATTGATTCATTATATGATTGATACATTTTTCTATAGCTTTTACTAGCGCCTTTTATAATTTAGAATAGACTTGATCAGCCCTTTGCAAGTTGGTGAATTTTTTCTGTTGGGTTTCACGAAATTGTTTTTATGAATCATAAATTGGTTGAAAATGTTTGTGAAATGGAAAAAGGGTAATTTCATATCAATTACTATTTATTATTGTAATATTACATTTTTGTATTATTATTAATTTGTTGTGTGAACCTCTTTTTTGTAGAGCATATACTATTCGTTTTAAACGAAATTCTGCATTACCCTTTTTTTTTGTTTTTACTGGTGCACTTCAGCGTTTTGTGTGCTCCTTACATCGTGTCCTGTCCCGCTTGCGTATCGCATTGGCCGAGGCTTAGAAGCGAAGATTGAGTTACATTGCTGGGGATTATTATCAACTGTATTATCTGGCTTTTCTTCTCCTGTGTTTTGCTTTATTTTTTTTATTTTTTGGTCCAAGGCGGCAACTGCTCTTTGGCCGGAAAAAAAGCCAAATAAAAATTCGTTACGCCGCTGCAGCGTTTACTCAACTGCAGAGTGAGATTCGTGGGTTTTGGTTTCGGGTTTTTCTGTTTTTAGGGTTTGCGCTTTTTTTTGTTTAATGATACCCTCTCAAGTATTTTCTCTTCGTCTTCCGTAGACTTTGTTTTTGTTGTATTTTGTGTGTGTGCTTGATGCGGTTCAAGTGCCTTTTTGGTGCTGTCGTAATTTGTGGCTTTTTTTAGGGAGGCGACGGACATGCATGTTTCATAAGTTTTCGGGGCAACAATTGTGTAAAATTATGAGCTGTCCATTTTTGCCATTTGGCATGGTTCCAGGGCATCAGAAGAAACAGCTAGCCAGCAAATCCGATTCGGTCTTTTGTTTCATTTTGTGGCCATAAACCAAACTGGAGTAGGTGTTGTCGTTAAGTTTTGATGTGCCACATTAAACTAGACTCCCCGAGCAGATTGAGTTTGAGCTGAGCCACCCCATTGTGCAGTTTATGATTGCAGATGAATGAAGCTACTAAAAAAGCGAGGAAGCCCACTGTGCTCTAATGGGAAATCAGATTTAGCCTATTGGCATAAAAATCTAGTTCCCCCCGATTGCTACTGCTGCCTTAGCAGTCCGTCTTGTTTTTATTGATTTTTATTTTCGAATAAAATTGAGAGGCGGCGACACTTTCACAGAGGAAACGTTAAATTCCTCTGGATATTCGTTAGCCCATAGATCTCTTGGGAATGGAAACTGAATAAAAGTGAATGTCGTTGGGGAGTTAAACTTTGAGGAAATTAAATCAGTTCGCCTTGGTATTTTTTATGTGAGGGAAGTTTATGAACATAACTGTCAAGCTGATATACAATTTAAATTAAAGTAATTCAGCTGAATAAAATATTCGCTTAGGTTGGCCCATTAAACTTCACTAAATTGATTAGCTTTTTTCTTACTAAATAAAGCAAATATGTTTTCAAGGATTTATGTTTTCTATAATAACTTTATTAAACAGCACTCTTAGAGTCTAAAATTAAAATTTAATTTTATAAATAAGCTTTTGTTAATAAAGTATAAAGTTAAACAAAGTACAAAAGATTTAAAGTTGACAAAGACATTTTCTCTTAGACTTTGAAAACTTTTTTATTGCTTTCTTATACAATAGGCCACTATATCGACCCACAGTCCACCCCTAACTGGGTCACATTACAGTTGGCAAATGGCTGCGGTAAAGTTTTAAATCATATTTAAAGAATACGGCAATAGATTCGGGCCCAACTGTTCGGATGGCAACCGCGAAGACATATAACACACGAGGCACTGTGTAGAAATAACCACAGGGAAAGCTCTGGGGCACAAGTATTGCACCACACTATTGGTGGTGTTGGTGGTGGTGGTGCTGCTGTGGCTCGAGATGGAAGCCAAAGCGGCAAATGTTCCAGGAAACTATAAAAGACAATAGCGGCAATATGCCAGCTCTGGTTTTTGTGGTTTTTTATGCTTGGACTCTAGGAAGAAGAAGCCTTTCTGGCTCTTGGCGTGGGCCTAAGTCAACAACAAAGAAGCGAAGCCTCAATGCCCTGGACGGCGCCTTTTGTTATATATATATGTGTGTATAGGAAAACCTTCCAAAGAGCTTGTTGGTGGCTTCGGGTGGAGGAATGGTGCTTGGTAGCCGAGAGTTGTGTATGCTCACGCATTAATATAGTTCCAAGCCAAAGTACACAGAGGAAAGGGGTACACAGAAAATAAATTGTTTAAATACAATTCGAAATAAGCTAACAGATTTTATCATCAGTTTTAAATTCTGAATATCCCAAAGAATATTTAAATATATTGCGCTATTTGTAACATGCTTGCATAATTTAATCATTAGCTAAAAATGCTGAAAATCCCATTAAAGTATTTTGATTAACTTTACCGTGAACTATATATTTGAAGTAAAGTCCAACTCTCAATCAATTTATATTATATATATATTAGTTTTCTTTATTAAATATTATTTTATATTTAGTATTTTTCTACAATTATTATTTATTTTATTATTTAATATTTCTTTCTCTGCATATTAAAATATAGATGTGTGTGAAACTAGTTTATGACAGGGCCGAGCTGGTGTGGGGTGGCAAATAAGGTTGTTTATGTGTAGGACCAAACCGTAAATATGACGCACCGCGAAGAAGAAGGGGTAACCTGTAACCTGGGCCAGCTGAAACTGGCTGCAAGTGGAGTGGTCAAGTGTAAAGTACGCAACTGCTCCTATTCCTATTTCCATTTCCATTCCCATTCCCATTGCCTGTGCCATTTCCCATTGTGGTGTCGTCTGCAGAATCGCAAGACGGCTGCTGGTCAAGTGTTGCAGTTGCTTCCTGCCTTTCGGCCTGACACTCACCTGGCCTCCAGCTTTTGCTATGCTCTACTCTGCTCTGCTTCTGCTTGTGGCATTCAATTGCCAATTCTCCACGCAGCCATCCTTGTTCTTGTGCTTGTATTTATATTTTCTTGGCATTGGCCTCTTCCCATGACACCGGTTAGCCGCATCTTCAGCTGCTCTGTGCTTATTTGGTTACTTTATGCCATTACCTGTATTCCTCCATAGACTCCTCTACTTCCTCTCTGGCGCGCTCTGATAATAAAGATGACAAAATATCTAGAGAAAATCATAAACCTTGTGTGTATGTTTGGAAAAATAATATCTTGCAGATATAAAGTACCATTTATGTCGTGCTTATATCTTATTTCGCCAAAGTCGTGCCATCGCAAGAGTCGCGAATCCCGAGTCGGTTTTCGCAGTCCAAGTCAAGAGTTGGGAGTCCCAGTCAACGATGGAGTCCATGCGGCATTTCGGTTCGGTTTGGATGGGTCTTTGGAGAACTGCTGCTGCGTTGGGAGATTGCTTTGTAGGCAGCGAACGAGCAGCATGGTTGCGTGGGCCACAGTGGTCAAAACTGAAATACTTCATTGCTATTGAAATGTGTTCTATATGATTTAGTATTAAATTTAATAATCTTAGTTTGGTTAGCCAAATTTATGAGATTTCTACCAATTTTGAGCTCCGTTTAAGCCCATTTTCATTATCCTTTCCTAACTTCTCAATGATTTTTCATTGCTGTCATTATTAGGGCATTTGAAAAAAATGTGTTATCTAATATTTTCATTTCATATTTTAGCATTTGATTTAAAGACAATAATAACTTTGTCTAGTCAATATTAAATATCTGATTTGTAATTAAAATAAATGACTTTTCGCACCTTCCTGTCCTGATTTAACCACTGTGCGTGGACTTGGCTGGAGCTCTGCGGCACTTCTTCACATGACGGCGACAGGCAATTGGCCCAATGCAGCGCCAGCGACGCCAAAGCCATGGCCACGTTGTCATCTTGGTCAAGGAGACGAGAAGGAGGATGGAAGTTGGGTCTATTGGCAATCTTTGTGCCCGGCCAAGTATCTTCTCTTTTCTCCTTTTCTGTCCAGCTCAGTTCGGTTATATTCCGTTCAGTTCAGTTCTGGCCTGGCCGACTTGTATATATGCTTTCATTACGAGCTT